TGAAAATGTATAAACTATTTGTTATATGCTATGATAATTCCTAAATGGAAATTAATCGTGAGTGGCAATTATGTAGCTAACCAGTTTTATGAACTGGTACTTATTAAAATCATGTTCATTTTGAGCCCATTGTTAGAGCAATTCTTATATGGCATTTTGCTATATAGACTATTTCATTCTGAACCAGTCATAAGGCATCTCATATGTTTATTGGAATTTCTCTAACGCACTGTTTTATCATAGCTCAATACAGGAGTTGTTCGTGGTTTTATGATGATGTGCATCAAATATGCCAAAATGAACAAGTAAATTTTAATAAGTACCAGTTCATAAAACTGGTTAGCTACATAATTGCCACTCACGATTAATTTCCATTTAGGAATTATCATAGCATATAACAAATAGTTTATACATTTTCATGATACAAAAGTAATTATTGTTGGTACAAACTTCAGTAAAACAAAAGTGATAAAATGTTGCATTGTGACATGAGGCAAATCCTCAGCCTTCCCAATATCAGTTATAAATATATATATATATATATATTGCAGTATATAAATCATGTGGTTTGTGTTGCAATACATGCTTTTGTCTCCCTCCATTTTGTGAATTGCTAGGCTAAATCTGCTTGGTTGTAAATTTGTTGGACTTTGTGGACGTCTTATTCAAACTTTTAATATGAGAAGAGTAATTTAATAATGTGGGTTGCTGTGTTTGTCATATGATGAACTTGTTCCTGTTTTTTAATTAAATGCTTATGGGTTCATCAGGCTCTTATCATTTTTCAGATTCTTGCAAATACTTTTTACAAGAGAATCAAAAGTCCTGGATCTGAAGTGGATACAGAGATTAAAATAGAGTTAACGTAAACTTGGTGCTAGTGATAACCACCAGATTCAATCCAGTCTTGCGAGAGGAATGTTCTCTCCTGCTTTGGACAAACTGGTAACGAAAGGCTTACCTCAAACGGGGGTGGGGTGGGGTGGGGGGAGGTTGAAATATTTGTTAATAGAAGAAGAAACTCAACAGCCTGGCAGTTCTCTTAGTTTTGATCCTATAATCCTCAAATGTACTTTGATATTTGTTTTTGAATATTTACAAGGGTCTGGCAAACTTGTATGCCTTATCAAAATAATAATAATATCCAAAATAGGAGAAAGGAGTGTAATTAGGAAGGCAGGAAAACCCCAGTGTCAGGTATTATTTTCATTCGTGTGTGTCTGTGTGTGTGTGTGTCAGAGAGAGACAGACAGACACGGGGGTGGGGGGGGGATCTTCATATCCATCCATTTGGAGCGGAAAGCAGTTCACAGGGGCAAACTGAAAATATCTGAGATTTTGGAGTAGTTGTCTTCTCTGTCCTACAATTTGATGGGGCTGTAAACATTTGCTTTCCAATTCTGAAAGTGCTGTGAGGGAAGATATTTTTCTCATATTGTTTAAATAATATTTTAAAAAAAAGGAGTTTTGCCACTTGTGCACAAAATCATTTTAAAACACAGCAGTTTGGATTCAAAGTCAGAGAATCAGAAGGATTTCTTCTTTTCCTGAAATTGTTTTCAAGGTCTATTAAATATAATTTTCAGTTCAGTGAAGCTAATTCTTTAGATTTGTAGCTTTGGAAGGTAAAGATTTATTAGGGAATCTGGTAGGTAATGTTCAATTAGAGATAAAAGCTTTCAGAAAGAAGGCAAGATAAATGAAAAATAGTTATGCAATACGAGGTTATACAGGCAGTCCTCAACTTACGACCACAACTGAGCACAAATTTTCTGTTGTTAAGTGAGGCATTTAAGTGATTTTATCCCCATTTTATGATCTTGTCAGTTGTTCAGTGAATCATTGCAGTTGTTAAATTAGTAACATGGTTGTTAAATGAATCTGGCTTCCCCATTGATTTTGCTTGTCAGAAGATTGCAAAAGGGGGTCACGTGACCCAGGGACACTGCAGCCGTCGTCTCAATTTTGATCATGTGACCGTGGGGACGCTGCAACGTTTGTAAGTATGAAAAACAGTCATCTCACTTTTTTTCAAACTGCCACTAAGCAAACTCCTAAGCAAACGTTGACGATTACCTGCATGCAAAACGCTGATATTCAGAGTGAGATGGGTGGTGTCTGAATTGTATAAATAAAAGGGGTAATATTTTAGTAACCGGGGGGAAAAAACAAATGCAGGTGTTTGTAGAACAGTCTAGCCTAGTAAAGACCGCAGATTACCCCTCTCACAAGAAAAGGCTATTAAAATATAATTCTGAATTTGAGCAGTTTGAAAACAAAGTGAAATCATCCAAATGTTTGCATTTTCTACTGTCTGTTTTTTTAAATGTTGTAACTCGAGGTGTAAATAAACTGCAATCCATGGAAGGAAAATGCACTCCTCCCTGGAGCACAGTGCAATGCTTGCAATTTGCCACCTGGTGCTGCTGCTTCACAGATTTTGGGGGAACCTGGAACTATAATTTAAGCAGGGCCATCTGGAGAGACCGAGGGGGGCAGGGGAAGCTCTCCTGTTTTATGCTGCTTTTCGAGATAAGTAGCCACACAAGCAGGAAAACGTGGCAACATCACACAGTAGAATACGGACACCAAAAAGCAGAGATTTTGCATCCACACAGATGACCAGATTACTATGAGTAAAGAGTCCGATCCAATGGAAGGACGATAGTGATTTGGTCTCCAGCAACTGACCACAACTGCTTCCAATCCAAGCAGTGGGGTAAAGGTAATGGGTTCCCCTCGCACATATGTGCTAGTCATTTCCGACTCCAGGGGCCGGTGCTCATCTCCGTTTCCAAGCTGAAGAGCCAGCGCTGTCCCAAGGCGCCTCCATGGTCATGTGGCTAGCATGACTAAACACGGAACTCTGTTCCCTTCCCACCAAAGGTGGTCCCTATTTTTCTACTTGCATTTTTANCATCTTCCTCACATTCCACTAATCGAGCATAAAGATGTTTTTGTTAACAAATTCTAAATGACTGTCTGAACTACCTGATCTTCAACTCAACACCTCCCCCTCCAATGAAGCAGCAGGCGAAATTTACCTTTAGCTGTTCTGATTTTAAAATGCTTTCCCCCTTTCAACAATGCAGTGCTTAAATGCCTTATTTACAATGTGGTTAATGACAGAATTGAGTGCTAGGTCTAACCAGGTTTTATTTACGACTACTAGAGGCAAAGTGAACAATCCCCTTCTGGCTGCAATCTTCAGAACTATTTGAAGAAAAAGCTACACAATATGCCTTCTCTCCCCACTTGACATTTCAGATTTTTCTGAAGATAAAAAAATACATTTCAGTTCAGATAGCAAACTGTCGTTGGAAGAAATATCCAGATTCTGTTCCAAGCCAGGATATAATGAAGCGGCAGAACCACCAACCATGTGAGGTTCTGGGAGTTCAGAGTGGGTGGATTTTATACGGTCTATATTCCTATGGGGTCACGGCTAGTTTTGTAGGCAAAAGGGGAAATATAAATTCTAGGCTTTTAAGTTAATTTTATCAACTTTTGGCTTGATTTGTGTTGCTTATCTGAAGTTCTTTCCTGACTCAGTCCTTCTGAATAGATTAAACAAATCAGCATTCCTATAAACTGGCTTCGGTTTCTTCTTGGGGAAGGGAAACAGGCTGATTTCTGCCTCCCTTAAGGTCTTTCCCCCCCCCCCCATTTCTCCTTTAGGGGAAATATTCCATCCTCCCCTTTGAACATCCCCAAATATTTCATGGGGGGGGGGGTGTATTCCACATTACTGAGCTAATTTTCCCAAGAGCAATTGGAATTACATTCGTCTTCAAACTAGCTTACTGCCAAACAAGAGTTTGAAGAACTGCAGCCCAAATGAGTTTAGCTAAGAAGGTTGGAGCCCAAAGCCCTCAAATTGCAGGAATTGCGGACTGAGGCGGACTGTGGCTGGCCTGGGCCGAGGACGGACTCCTTATCCCTGCAGGCCCAGCAACACTATAGCTAGAGACATTTTGTGAGCGCCCTTGGAGAGGCTGAGGATCCATCAGGCGTGTTTTTATCCGAGCCCTTGGTTGCAACAAGTGGGACAAACTGTTCAGTAAACTCTCATGTATTATTTACTCAGGGTTTTATTAACCCCACAAGATCTCAGCTCCTTTTGTGTTTTTAAAAATCGAGGCCGCTAAGCAAAAGGAGGCAGAATTAGATGGGCAGGAGAAGCCTGAGAGAATGAAGCGTGTAGGCCACCCTTTACGTAAAGTTCAAGGAAGCTGCACTTAAAACTCTCGTTCCTCTACATTAACTTTCCACTCGCAATAAATCAACACGGGCTGCNTCTTAGCAACTGAGCCACCGCGTCCCTTAATCCAGGCAGAGAATTTCCCAAAGGCAGATCTTACGTAAATGTTTTGTCTTGATTGGCTTTACAAATCTTAAATTCAAATCTGTTTAATTTTACATGGATTGCAAAGTAAACTGCATTACAGTCTGCTAGAGCCTAATGCCATAAGGGTCATTCATGGGGTTGCTGAAGGAAGCTGCCTCTGTCTTCCTCTAGATTTATCAGCTCTTGAGTATCCCAAAATTTCCAGCCAGTGTGGTCAGAAGCTAAAGTGCCTGGGAACTGTAGTCCTCAACTCCGAAAAATCAAAATTTGGGGAAGGTAGCTAAGCTTAAGTCATAATGTTAAACATCAAGCATGTAAAATAATTGCTGTTTCATTTGGGGCCTTATCTGAGTACCCCGCCTTTCAAAGTTCTGCGTTTCCTTCCCCTCTCTTTCTAATAGTCTTGAAAGGTGACAGATTTCACCAGCTCTTTTTACTTATGAGAATGGAAAGGTCCACAGATCCTATGGTCTTTTCCATCTACCCATTGTGAGTAGAATGAGTAAGATGTAAAAGGGAGCTTAAATTCTTTCCTCTCTTCAAGCTTTTATTTCAACTACAATGGGTCTGTTAGGGTTTATTGATAGCTAAACCCACGATCTGCATTCAAAACTATTCCGTTACGGGATTTTAGG